AGAGCCCTCAGAGACACACAGAGCCCTCAGAGACACACAGAGCCCTCAGAGACACACAGAGCCCTCAGAGACACACAGAGCCCTCAGAGACACACAGAGTCCTCTTAGACACACAGAGTCCTCTTAGACACACACAGAGCCCTCAGAGACACACAGAGTCCTCAGAGACACACAGAGCCCTCAATCTCTCTTTCTGCAGCCCCTGTTATCAATGATCAGGAATCCTCTACACTGAGTGTTCCTGATCATTCATAACATGAGGACAGAGTATGTTTACTATAACTACAACTATGAACGGACAGGAGGAGATGTAGATCAGTTTCCATTCATTCATAATTGAGGATATAGTAACCATACTCTGGCCTCAATTATCTACAAACACTCAGCGATCACTGAACACTGACTGCTTGTACCCGCTCTCCATCCTGACAGCTGTCACAGGAGGCTGAGCGAGCGGTGCGGAAGGAGAGCTCCGCCTCCTGTGACAGCGCGGCCTGTCTCCTCCCACACACCGCTCTGCCGGACTGTGATAGCAGGCTGAGCGGAGTGGGGGGAGACGCCGGCCACTCACAGCGCTCTACTCCCGCAGCGCTCGGCCGGCTGTCACTTTCTCTCCTCCCGGCTCGGACACGGAGCAGCGCCCAGCGGGGAGGAAAGGAAAATCGGCAGGAAAATGGCACTTTCGGCATTATGTCAAAAGTGCCATTTATGGCCTATATGTTTCCCGCGGGCGATATATATCGGCGCATCGCTTAAAAAAAAACATTGATCCTGCCAGAAATCTTGTGATGTCACAGGGGCGTCCCGAGGCTGGGTGACACCCGGAGCGGTAACCGAGTGTCACCCCGCCGAGACGTCACTGCGCATGCGCTTGACGTCACCACGCGCGTGCGCGATGATGTCATCGACACGCGCGGCAGTATACTGATCCCTGCCGGCGTCCATCACCAAGAATCTTGGTGATGGACGCCGGCAGAGAGAGGAAGGGACAGTCACCCGGCGGGATATGGTATGCCACCGGGTCCCCTCCTCTCTCCTGATACTGTCGGGCGTTCGGTCCATGACTTTTCAGAGGGACTTTTCAGAGGGGGGTGACACCAAAATGACTATGAGTCATTTTGGTGACACCCCTAAAATGGTGTCACCCGGGTGCGGGCCGCACCCCCCTTGTGACGCCACTGGGATGTGATAACTTCCCGTGCTGCACTCTCATCAGTTACATTGTCCCCAGCTCTCTTTGTGAACTACGGAACACCTCCCTATCATAGAACTGATGGATTGGTGGGTAATCAAGGCACCGCATGCCTGAGGATTGCAGAAACTCACAACGTGAATTGATGTGAATTTTTAAAGTAATCAACAAATTTGTATATAAAATATATCTTATTATAAGATCAAATAAGAAGAATGCCATGAATACGTTCTATTCGCATGACAAGAGACTAAATCCAGGTTATAGGAGGCCTCCTTATTCTGTATCCTCTCATAAAACCTGTTGATCCTGCCAGAAATCTAGTGGGCTGATCACTTCCTGCCTGTGCTGATATCAGTTACATTGTTCTCTCTGAGTATTATATTTCCCTATTATGGGATTATTATTTTGGTGTATTTCCCTGTTATATAATTGTTGGATCAGTGGGCAATCCAGGCCTAATATTATGGAGCCATTCACTCCAAACTGCATACAGCTGTTCGGGGGCTTTTGGCCATTAACAGTGCAGTGAATGGAGACCATGACTTCTACTGTGCTGTGCATAGAGTAGTAAAGAGTTAGACACTGTCGGCAACTTTATATATATATATATATAACATATATCTATCCCTGCGAGTGCGACCCCATTGGGTAGATTTTCCCTCACTTCCTGTCCCTGTGACACCATGAGCAGAAAATGAGGGAGCTGTTGTCCTCAGCACAGAAAGACACAGCTGCTGTCAGAAGTTGCAACCCCTCCGGACTCTACTAAAATGAGTTTTTATATATTTTTTCTCTGTGTCCCTTGACAGGAAATGAAGGGAAATCTCCCCAGTGGAGTCGCAGAGAGTTTCAAAGCCTTCCCGTTTCTATCCAAAATGAAATATGTTGGAGTTGGGTATCAAATCCTCGGCATCTACCAAAATGTTGAAATGTCAGTTTTGGGTAGACTGGGCCCTTTAGGTTTGCAGCACCCTGTGCATGGAGTCTGCCCACGCCCTCACAATCCCTCACCCATAGGGTGGTCATTTGCATTGGGTGAAAGTGCAGAGTTGGCCTGTGGCGGAGGAAGCACTTGGCAGTGATTGGCCAGGATAGATCCAAACCAGATCATTGCAACTTCCTGTATAATGATTGGCCAATGGATGCCTGCTACAGATGGGGGGGGTGGGGGTAAATCCCCATGCAAACAGCGCAATCTATATCTGCCGACTCAGCTTATGATTCTGTCACATGATTTCCTGACCCCCGTAACCTACGTGTGTTATCAGGTAGTTGTGCAATAATAACCGGTCTCAGCCCACCACCTGCCACTTACTCATTCCTACCAAAGATTTGCGCAATGTCGAGATTTTCTTTTTTTTTTTCAATCTTTCATTACACAGATTATGGCAGAAGAAGCTCGAGGGGCCATTCACGCTGGTGCGTTGTGGTGCAGTTCACTGTGAATGGGACCCCAGCGCATTGCACAGGGCGAGTCCAACGCACATCGCATATACCTTGCGCTTTAAAAAAAGAGTCATGTACATTTTTTTTAATCCTTTGTAGAATGTTGGCCAGGTTCCTCAATGCGCCCCCCCCCCCCCCCCCCCCACACCCCCACACACA